AAAAATGCTAAATATAATAAAAGTTATTAACTAACATTAAAATAACTATATTATAGAATATTTGGATCGTAACAGCGCTTTAGATTAAGTTCCTGATATATAAAAAATTTATTAAAAACTGTCAATATAATAAGTATAACGAACTGTTCTAAGAATTTTCAAAGGTCTTAATACGTAATCTTTGATAGTATTGAGCCACATAATACCCTCTAATATGCAAATGGCAACATCCAGAAAATGAACCAGTTGGCTTACCACATTCACTACAAGAGATACAATTTTTAGCCTTCCAATGAAACTGACATCCCTCTGGCTGAATACAAGATTTAGAGCAAACAATACCAGAATTATAAATATATGGACACAAATACTCACCAATCATTTTTGAATATATGATATAAATTATTTATTTAAAGAAAAGATTTTGTATAAGTAAAATATAACGCAAAAGTTAGACTTAGTATATTACAATCATTATATTTTATTTATGACTAGAAAAGACAAGAAAAATAGAACTTGTGAGCGTTATGAACATACATGTGCAACACTACAAAAACTTTGTGAGCATCTTAATAGACAGAATCCATGCAGATCCCTCATTTCTCCAGTACTTTTACCTCAGCACCAAAGTACTTTGCCTATACTGAGAAAACCAAAAGTTTTAGATATACCTGAAATGATACAAAATCCAGAGCAAAATGCTAATGACAAAAAGCCAGGTAAAACTGTTAAGCAATGGGGCTCAAGATTACAAAAAAGATATAAAAACTATGTTATGAAGATTATGATCAACCAAGAACTTTAAAAGCTTGTCAAGTTCTTTATAATACTTTATTACAAATAGATGAAGAAGCATATATCAATATAGAACCTACAAAGTAGACGAAAGAAGAACAAGAATTCTTTGGAGAACCTGAAATTGAAATAGAAAGACAAGTATCACACCCTGTTAAAAGTCAATTTATAAAACTCCCTAAAACTAGTCCCAAAACTCAAGCTCATCAGGAGAAAAAAAATGAACAATCTAAAAAAACTTCTTTAGAAATAGACCTAACAAATGAAGAATTTGAACGTCTCAGTATGATTACTGGAGATCACGAAAAAAGCATAATATTTAGAGAGCAAATTTTAGGAAAAGCACTAAAAAGATGAGCCATAGCCATACATAATGCAAAAGTTCCAAAATATCATTCTAATAATGGGAGCGACATCAGAAAAATGTTAGAGAATCAAAGAAAATCATTTCAGGAATTGCTTGAGAAAGAGTTTAATAAACGAGATCAATTTAAGTTTTCATTATGTTTTCTGACAAAATTTCTTATAGATGACAAATCAGATGGTAATAAAGAAAAAGATAAGAAAAAGAATACAAGAACTGATTGGTTATGAAATAAACAAATTATAGTATACAATTGATCTGAAATAGATGATTACTTAAGCAATGCTTTTGAACAAATTATAAATCAAGTAAAAGAAAGAGGAGATAAGTCTAATGCTTAAGAATATATCTGGATGATAGCATTGTATCTGGAGGGATAATTTGTAGCTCTTCTAGTACAAAAGAATGTTTAGGTCCATTATATAGCTTATAGAGAACTGGTTGATTTTCTTTTATCAAATAAGAATTGATTGTAAAAGTTTTGAGAGACCAATTGCAATCAGTTATTCTTTTTTTTCAGCCTTCTAATTCACCAGGTTCTAAAAGATGATGAACTTCTACATTGCTTGGTAAAAGAAACTCGCTATAACCAATAGGTTTTCTATGCTTAACTGCAGGTTTGGCTATTATTTTTTCACTTTTTAATGCATGTTTTACTGTCTCATTAGGAGACATACCTATTAATAAAGTAACAGAATTATTAAAAGTATCATCATTTATACGAAGATCTTTGAATCAATTTCTAAATCTTTCAGATAAAGACAAATAAAAATCTACAGCATCTTGATGGAAAAAAACATGTTTTTCAAATTCTTGATGAGCTCGTTCAGCAAAAGCTACACTACGTTTAGAGTTAGCATACTGAATTTTTATATTATGACTGAGTAATAAATTCTTACACTTGTTCATATATTCATTACCTCTATTACTAATAAAAGTTTTTGGATAGTTAAAAGGATTATTAGAATCATTGTAAATTTTTTGGATTGCTTTAGCCATTTGTGCAGAAAATTTATCAGTTAATGCAAAACTACATTGGTACCTAGTTGCAACATCTTTGATAACACTCCTATACTTGTAAATCTGATTACCTACTTTATCATGAGGCATAGGCGTAGTATCAGACTGGTGTACTTCGTTTAAATCTTGTATATCATTAAAAGAGGCATATTGAATAAACTTTGGACGAGATATATGAATTTGATGCAAAGCTTGTCTTTCAAGCCATTCTTGAACTTCAGCCAATATAAAATCGAATCTGGCATTATGTGAAACATCATAAAGTTTTTTACTAGTCTTTTGATAGCCAGAAGGATGATAATAGATTTTTTGTTAATCGATAGATATATCAAATTTTTGAGATTCTAAAGGATCTATAACAATATTAGGATTACTCATTTTATTTATAGTATAAAAAATCTCAACGATGTCATCGAAGATTAAGCAATTCGAAAATAGTTTATCAGCAATAAAAAATCAGTTTTGGAAGTTGCAACAAGATTTAGTTTTAAAAGAAGATTACATCAAATATCTTGAGAAGGAGATATTGATTCGGGATGAAGATTTGAGTCCACTGTGACAACAAATTACCATTATTAAAAAATAATTGAAAAAGATTCTTCAAACATCTACAAGTCAAGAAAAATATATAGATTATCTGGAAGAGCAGTTAGTAATTTTTCAAGAAAATATCGATATACTCAATGAAAAAATCAAAATTATTTCTTCCAGAAGAAGCTCACCGGACCCATATACCCAGACTTTGAAAGAACAAGACACTAATATGGCAAATATAGATGTGGTAAATATAGATCTTTTTATACTTATTAATCAAGACTTAGATCAACTCAAAAATCATCTTAGAGAAGATGGTACACCACTAATTAATCCTATCAGAATTATCAAAGGGGTCCATAGTTCTTTGAATACTGTTTGACATAATTATCAGACTGCATATCAGGATATAGATGATATTATCACCCAACAGGATGATCAAGATAATTAGATAACCCAGCTACAATAGGACATTAATAGATATAGACAACTTGATACACTTCAGCAAAATCATATTAACCAGCTTACCCAGGATGATATTACTTTGCAAAATCATAATCATAAGCTTACACAGGAGCGTGGTATCCTGCAGAATATAGAAAGATCTCACAATTTTTGGAAGTAAAATGCTATCTTTATCAAAACTCGAAAAGACAAGCATATCAGTACATTATTATATGAACAGTTTGCAACACAGCTCTTGAATAGACGAGCAATCCAGCAATTGGAATGACAATTGCAACAATGTCATAATCATGGAACAATATTAGAGTATTGGCGAGAGTAACTTATAGTGAGGTATGAAAAATGAAAAAATAAAACTCATGACACCCGGCAAACAATTATTAATTTATGTCAACAAATTTTTGCTTTACAAAATAACCCATTAGCAAATTCACCCAATATGGCTGCTGCTTCTAGACAACATATATATCAAACTATTCAAACAAGTCTCGCACATATTCCTAATTACATAGGACAAGAATCACCAGATGACTATTGTAATAAGATTCAACAAGCAATTTCTTTTACTAATACAATGATAGCTGATGTCAATAATGCAAATGCTAATACTTTTACTGATGTCCATAAGGCAGATATCTATAAATCAAAAATGGCAGGAAAATATGTCCCAGTTCCTGCACAACATCCTGCTGGTACAAATATTGATACTTCTGCTTTATTCAGAGCTTGGTTTAGACATAAATATTATGAATTAACTATAGGAACCAGGCAAGCATCTTTGACAAAATTAACGCAAGAAAAATTCTTACCTATCGATACTCCAGAAACTTATAAAGAAAGAATTCGACTTTTATTATTGCAAACACCAAATAATAATGCCGATGCATTGGCAATCTTATGAAATCACTTACCAGATGAGCTCTTTTCAAGAATGGAAAATACAGCTCCAGCAGATATAGATATGTTCTTTACCAATCTAAAAAATATCTGGCTTAAGCGTCAACCTTCTACTTTTACATATAATGGAAATAGAAATTTATCCATTATTACAACTAATTCATCTCCTATTCCATATCAACTGCAACCTCAAGAAAATAAAAATAGGGCAATGGAACATTTAGAAAGTATTGCTATGAGATTGGGATATTCTGATAATGCATCTCAAAATTCTGATGCTTTAGAAAATTTTATCGAAGATGAGTTATACGCAAGATTAGGACATGCAAATTATTATGTTAAGAAAGAACCTTTTGGACAAAATAATAATACCAAAAGTGCTAAAAAAGTATACACTACAAAGAAACCAACAAAAGTTATTAAAGTTATATACAAATGCTCAAATTGCAGAAAAATTGGGCATAGAAAAAATAAGTGTCCTAGTCCCATTAGAAAATGCAAAAAGGTTAATTATATCATTCAATCTGAGCCAGAAAATTCTGATCAAGAAAATGAATTTATTGTAGTATTAGAGGATTCTGATGAGGAAGGATCTGAAGCTGAGGAAAGCATCTCTGATAATGAATCACAATCATGTTTCAATGTAAAAAAAAAAGTCAGATTCTTGTAAAGAAGAAGCCTTCTACTAAGAAAAAATCGATCGTTACTTTGGAACAGGAAGTATTTCTTGAATCTCTTAAATATATGATATCCGAATTAATACCCCATTGTCCTAAGAAGATTCTCATTGAAGTTCGTGTATTTCTTAATAATCTGTTTATAAAGATGAAGGATCAATTTGATTCATATTATGGTGAAAAGTATACAGTCAAAGAACGAAATAAGGTATGGGAGATTATTGCGAAAAAATATCTAACTATTTTCCAACCACTTATTAAAATTATTAAGGACCAGATTCCAAACTCTTCGAGTCCTAAAGAAACGAATCGCGATTATGAGCTTATATCTCAACCAGAAAAACTTGACAATTTCATTACATTAAATCATGCCATTAAAATATACCAAGGAGCACAAATAAGACAAAATTGGCCTAACCCTTTTGAGATTGATTTTCTCGATATAAAAGAACCTAATGATGTGGCAACAATTTCTTGTAGAATAGGTGACTTGATAATACCTCACGCAATTCTAGATACTGGTGCAGATAATTCATTGTTTACAGATAACATTCCTGAATATTTAGGGATAAAAATAAATAAGAAAAATGTTTACAAACTTACAGGTGCAGTTGGAGATTCTCAATCCGTTGGTACTTCATATAACATTCCTATATCTATAGATAGTGAAAAAGATTCTATAACAGTTTCTGAAAAAGAAATATCCGTAATTCCCACAAAAAAGAATCGAAATGGAAAAGATATATCTATAATGATACTTGGTACAAAATGGCAACATCATATCAGATGGGATCCTATAGTAAAAGGAGAATTTATAGCAACACAAAATGGAAAGACTATTACAATTCCTCTTTCTACTCGCAAAGAATCACGCAATGCATTTAATACAGAAAAAATACAGGCATCAGAGGTAAAAAAAAATACGTAAATTCTGACAAACAAGATGACTTCTTTCTCATACTAGAATTTCATTCCAAGATTCATATTATATCAGGTATGAATGATGTAAAAAATAAAGCAACTATTAAAAAGGAATTTATTAGAGTCCTTGATTATGCAGAATATCTTAAAAAGGAATTGATACGATTTCAAGATTCATTTTGAAGTTGTTTTTTATATTCACGCAATTTTTTCATTCTGGTTTGCTCATCACTATTTGATATTGATGAGGTAGAATGATATATAGTTTTCGATTCTGATAGATCTCCACCTTTAGGTAATTTTGCAATAGGGCTTGACTTATCGATCTTTTTTCTGCTAGATTTTTTTGATACAAGTTTACTCGAAGGAATTACTTGCTCAGGATTTATAGTACCTGATGAACTATATTGGGGTAAGATTTCTGGTTGAGATATCGGCGGAGCTGACATGACCAAGATAGATGAATTAATAGAAGTAATTTCTATTTTAGGCGGTTGTGGATATATCCGACCACTTTACAATATCATCATATCTTTCTCTACCAATTCTATAATCTCTACACATATCACGTTTTCTATTTGGTATTTTTCTTGTATGAGCGTCTCTTATTTTTTCGATTGCTTCAGGAGTTAATGGGATAATATTAGAATTAAGATATGCTCGAACTCGATGTTTAGTATTAGAGTTAACCATTTAAAAAAAAATATATAAAAAAAGATCCGATTTAAATCCAGATAAATATCAGGTAATAATCGGATAATAATCAGATAAAATCTGAATAAAAACTGAATAATAATCAAATAAAGACTGGGAAATAATCAAATAAAATCCCGCATCTCGTAACTTTATCACTCAAAACTTTGAGCAGGTACTGTGAAAAGGTGGGAATATGTATATTTATAAAACCGGGTAATTACCAATTTTTGACCAGTTTCTTTTTTATATGAAACCAGTTAATTATCAATTCTTGCCCAGATTCCTTTTTTATATAAATTAGTAAACATTATTCTTTCGATTATATGGCATCAGTACATGCCTTGTATAATGAACCCACCAATGCAAAAAATTTTCAAGGATGTGGATATAAATTAGATAGTACTAAAGAAGTGAGCTTAAATCACAATGTAATGAGTTACTTCTTGAAACTGAATATTTCGCTAATAAATGTTCTGAATTTAGAAATGCTAAAGTTCTTGCAGAAGCACGATCAGATGTTCTTAATAAAGAGCTGGAGAAAAAAAATGACAAGATTTTACATCTCCAGAAAAAATTAAATCGTTGCATTGATGACAAAAATCGATATAACTTGATTAATAAACAACTCAAAGAAGAAATCAAACGATTGGAAAACAAAAATACCAATCTTACTGAGTATAAAACCAAATATTATACTAAACTAGGAGAAGCGAATTCATTACAATCTAAAATCACTGAAGTAGAACAGGAGTTAGCTTCAACAGTTAGTAAGTTGGAACGTCTAAAATCAAAGGCTATATCAAAACCTGTTGAGTCAAATACTCATTGCTCTACAATAATTGGTGGAGATGTCAAAAAAAAATACGCAAAGCGAGGAACAAAGTTCCATATCAAATCCCAATAATATCTTCGCGGTTAATAAAAATATTAATGATCTTAGTCCGTATCTAGTACGCAGAAAAAATATAGAAGATATCGAAAAAATCGATGATGATGACAGAATCATCCCTATACCCAAGGTAAGTGACTTACGGAATGAGGATGCTAACGCATCTGAAACTAATAATAGCGAAACTAGTAAAGATATTATGCTAAATACACATATAAATTCTGATATATTATTGAGCACACCCGAGAATATGACTCCACACCTTGCACAAGTAGGAAATTATACTCCCTCTTTGGTTGAATCAAATTCCCAGATTCCAATAGGAGGGGTGGGTACAATTCCCATTGTGGCAAGTAGTTTGGTGTCATCGCTATCGGCATATATCTTTCTTGCCTTGATAATTATTGTGGTTATGCGGTTTGTTATATTGAGACGTACATGGGATATAGGTAAAAAAAGTGAGTGGTTGAGAGATACATGGATCGGATAACAGATATTATCTATTTGAACTTGGATATTATTCGTATACAGAAAATATAATAGTTTTTAATCATGTCTAGTCACGAAGTAACTGCCTCCGGCAATATTTGTTGTAGATGTAAGGAAATATCGTCGTCATTGTATATAGATTGCATTGTTACGCATTCCTTTATGGTGGTAGGGATGAGATTTCGCGGTGACCATAAATTTAAGAAATCAGATACCATCACTCTTGAACTGGAGCCTTCGAATACGTATGATAAGAATGCAATAAAAGTTATGATAGATGGTATTCATAAAGCCTATGTGACAAAGAACGAGAATGTAAGTATAGGAGATTTGATGAAAAAATACTCAAATTATCGGATCACTGCTCATGAAAAAAAGAACTATAATCAATCGGCGTCTTTAAACCTCGAATATCCTTGGATTGTTTGTGAAAGATGTTGTGATACACTACAAGCATCGAGAGATTATGACTATACTTATTAATGGATCTTTTATGAAAATTATGAAATATATATCAAGAAAAAAATAACTATTAATCATCACGAAATAGTAATAAATAAAAGTCTAAAGTAAGATGATTTTATTTTAAAATAGATATATATATGAATAAGTTATACATTAATAAATCGAATAAATAGATATATGGATTATACATTGTTAATTTGTCGCATTTCTTCTCGAACCACCCATAATAATTGATAATGTTGAGCTAATTGAGTAACACGCATGCCTTCCGGTCTGTAGAAATACTTAAATTAAAGATATCTAATAAATATTATAGTTCAACTATTTACAATGAAAAAATCATTTTTAAATGATGCTTGTATTATTGCTAAATCTCGTGGTGGAATATGTATTTCTACAGAATATAAAAATGCTAAAACTCCATTAATGTGGCGTTGTTCTAAAAATCATACATGGACTGCTTTATTAAGAAAAGTTAAATATGAAGGATCATGGTGTCCATATTGTGCAGGTCACGTAAGACTTGCTCTCGAAGATGCTATACAAATTGCAGTATCCAAACATGGTCAATGCCTTTCAACAGAATATGTTAATAGTAAGATTCCAATGTTATGGAAATGTCATCAAGACCATATTTGGAGTACTCCATTTAAGAATATTAAATATTTAGGGACGTGGTGTCCACATTGTGCGGATATGCCATTTCAAACTAAATATTCTATAAATGATGCACATAGAATTGCCAAAAATTGAGGTGGGCAGTGTCTTTCCAAAAGTTTTATTAATTCCATGATGCCATTACAATGGAGATGTGCTAAAAATCATGAATGGACGGCTAACCTTATTCATATTAAAAATGGACATTGGTGCCCATATTGTGCAGGAAATGCACGTTGTACAATTGAAGATGCTATACAAATAGCTCGAAGCCGAAATGGAGATTGCCTTTCTAATCAATATATTAATAATAGCACAAAATTGCAATGGCGTTGTGTTAAAGGTCATGAATGGTTTGCTTCATTTGCTAAAATTAAAAATAGTAGATCATGGTGTCCAGAATGTTCTCATAGAAAGCCTTACACTCTCGAATATGTCAAGCAGTACGCATATAATAAAAATGGTAAATGCCTTTCCGAAAAATATATCAATTGTGGAATTCCATTACGTTGGTGTTGTACTAAAGGTCATGAATGGACTGCTCGATTTAATAATATAAAAAACGGTTTTACATGGTGTCCATATTGTTCCAAATATAAACGTGAAGAATTGTACCGTGAAATTGTATCAAAATATCTTGGACAACCATCTGAAGATCGCTGGCCTGATTTCTTAAAAACTTCAGAGCATCCATCGGGATTGCAACTTGATATTCCTTACTATGACTATGGTTTTGCTATAGAAGTACAGGGACAACAGCATGAAAAATATATCGAATTCTTCCATAGAGGCGATCCCAATAATTTTATCAAACAGCAAGAGCGGGATCAACTCAAGAAAGAATTATGTGAAGAAAATTGGATCGTTTTAAGGTATGTCTGGTATTATGAAGACCCATATATAGTTATCCCAGAACATCTTCGAGAATTGGGTTTTATTGAGTAAGATTAAAACTTTAAATGCATTAATGATATTGTTAATCGAATTAGAATTTCTTTTTTATTCAAAGTTACACAAATATAACCAATTGCATATACATATTAAAAAAATCGAAAGCAACCTTTATCATTTTTTACAGTATAAGTAAATAAGACCATCAATTTTTTACTATTTAATGGGTAACCATGAATGCGATGCTAAAATATCATAGATTGTTCCTATCACTAAGTTATATAGCATGATCGGATCCTTTTGTGCCTGAGCTTCGTA